GGCAGAGGTAATGGAACATGCAAGACAGTCCCAAGTCTGTATATAAAGAGAGAGGGAGGCATGTCTTATTTGTATTGCAAATTGAATGAATAAATATTTTGTTTACAGTTCGTTTGTTTTTTGTTTTTAGTTTTTCGCTGATTTCAACATTATTTCATTCATATCATGGCAGTCACATAATCTACTTACTGTTCCTGGTTAACCAGTACTAATCACTTACCTACAGGAATCAGCGGTTAGGGAATCATGTTCGTAGACAAGATATCACGACTTTAGAAATTTACACTCTTAAGGCAGGTTCAAACCATCGACCTTCTGATTAAGAATTTATTCAACTTGCTATTCATTTTTTAATGGTCTGACTGCAGACAGAAATTGACTTAGGGATCGTTCACAAATGACGTCAGCTCGGAGGGGGGAGTCAGTGAAAAGTTGACGTCCATGTATTTCTGTCTATCCTTGTAATGTTGACAAGGGGGGAGGGGGTTCATTTTTGGCCAAATTTTAGCGGACGTCATTTGTGAACGGTCCCTTACAATCAGAACTTTAAAACCAAATGCACCAATTGAATGTCTTTATTTCAGAATCATCAAGGAACAATGAGGCAATCTTATTAGTTATCAACTGGTATTTAGTAATTAGAATTTTGTTAACATGAACAGTTAAAATGTTTTTATTGAGCACTTCTGTCCTGGATACACTGTATGGGTATTTTTCTCGTGATCACTGGAAAAGTTTATCTGGAAAAAAGAAATGAAAATGCTAACTATCTGCCTGCCTTAAGACAAACAATGTCCCTGGGTTATTTCAATAGGCCAGTGATCATTTATCTATTCCCCTGGTTTCAGAGTATATTATCATGACAGAATCTTGTGATTATTGAGAATGGCATATTCTGTATAAAGCATGTTAAGAACCATTATCATGTGGGACTCACTTTAATGGCAAAAGGTGTGAACACATGTATATTAAACTGCGTAGGCCAGTTGGTTGCAAAATCTAGCTTGATAAAGGTTTGAAGATAATAAATGTCTATTCAGATTGGTGGCGTAACAAAAGACCAAATGATGTTACAGAATGAACTTATAAAAATGCAATGTTAATAATTTAAAATTAAATCCAGAACATGCAATATCAGTATGTTTTTATCTTATTATACACAAGAGTCTGAATATAGTACCTGTAAATTTATAAAGCAGCCTGCTTCCACACATAATGATGTCAGGAGAAACACTCTTTGCCCTAACATCCGTGGCCACTAACGTGTGAGTTGTTTCATTTAGGGACCATAATTTCTTCTTTTTGGTAAAAAGTCGAACCCAAGGCCAGACATCAACCTGAATTAAAGGACAATAATTAAACTTTTATTAATAATATTTTTTACAAGAGAAAGAGTACATATTTAATAACCAATTAAAACATAGTTAATGAACTGCATTAAAACAACATTGAAAAAAAATCGGCCAATTTATAGTATTAATTTAATGTGCCCAGTATTCTTCATGATTGAATGGCCCTAAAAATACTTTCATAATATCAAACACTGTGCAATATACATGGCCGGGCTGGGGCTTGAACCTATGACTCCTGTAATAGTATGAAAGAAATGTATGTACAACAGAAGTTGCAAAAACTTTATGAACTGTGAAAATAAAAAAAAATAAAAATTTATTATAACCTTTGTAAAACAGAACTTTCATGAAAAATAACAGCAAATGTTAGTAACAATTGAAAAAGTAACGCAAATTTTCTTTTAACATCCTTACGACTGCAGGTAACAAAGTAGACCCATGTTGAATTATTATGTATTCCCCAGTATGATATCTAAAGAAATTTCAAGATATATTAAAAGGAGTAAAGATAAAGTTTCAATTGCCATGATTTTCAGATTAGTTATTCATTATAAAATATTTACATCCCACTACATTTTTCTTCAATGAACTATATTAGTTGGCATTAAGTTCATTACCGTATGAAAACAGTCGTTTCAGGTAGCTTTGGCTTTAGTTTATTGAGTTACTTGAATCACGAATATTCATGATAATTTGGCGTATTGCGTCATTGTTTATAATACTTGTCCCCCGCCTTTCGAAGAAAGCAGGGGACTATTAAAATGGGTTCGTCCGTCTGTCTGTCTGTCTGTCCGTCTGTCTGTCCGTCACACTTTTTGGGACACAATAACTCTCTTCCTAATTGAGCTAGAATGTTCAAACTTGGTGTATGTGTTTATTAGGTCAATGCCTTGATGGAGTTCGAAGATGAGCATTTTCCGCTTAGGGTAAGCAGAGATAAGCAATTTGATTGGTTGATGCTTTGGGACACGATAACTCTCTTCCTAATTGGGCTAGAATGTTCAAACTTGGTGTATGTGTTGATTAGGTCAATGCCTTGATGGAGTTCGAAGATGAGCATTTTCCGCTTAGGGTAAGCAGAGATAAGCAATTTGATTGGTTGATGCTTTGGGACACGATAACTTTTAATTGAGCTAGAATGTTCAAACTTGGTGTATGTGTTTATTAGGTCAATGCCTTGATGGAGTTCGAAGATGAGCATTTTCCGCTTAGGGTAAGCAGAGATAAGCAATTTGATTGGTTGATACTTTGGGGCACGATAACTCTCTTCCTAATTGAGCTAGAATGTTCAAACTTGGTGTATGTGTTGATTAGGTCAATGCCTTGATGGAGTTCGAAGATGAGCATTTTCCGCTTAGGGTAAGCAGAGATAAGCAATTTGATTGGTTGATGCTTTGGGACACGATAACTTTAGTTCTAATTAAGTGAGATTGATGAAACTTGGTGTATAGTTTCATTACAGTAATACCTTGTTATCTAAATTATCCCCCTTTGGTGATACAGTTTTTAGCATATAAACTAGATAATAATTATTCGGTTGACACACAATCAACGGCATAGAATACACGATGGCACAAGCTATAATAATTATTGATATAAAATATTATTTTATCGCAATTTAGCTGATATATAACTGGATAGCCCTCATAAATAAGTAGTGGAAGGAGGGAATCGATTTTCATATTCCGTTTTCCTGCAAATGTTATTTAACTTCTTTATTATATAATATTTGTATTTTTGTCCCCCGCCTTTCGAAGAAAGCAGGGGACTATTAAAATCGGTGTGTCTGTCCGTCCGTCACACTTTTTGGGACACAATAACTCTCTCTAACTGAGCCAGAATGTTCAAACTTGGTGTAGGTGTTTATTAGGTCAATGCCTTGATGGAGTTCAAAGATGAGCATTTTCTGCTTAGTGTAAGCAGAGATAAGCAATTTGATTGGTTGATGCTTTGGGACACGATAACTTTAGTTCTAATTAAGTGAGAGTGATGAAACTTGGTGTATAGCTTCATTACATCAATACCTTGACTAAGTTCGATAATGAGCATTTTCTGCTTAGGGTAAGCAGAGCGATAAGCAATTTGATTGGCCGAGACTTTGGAACACAATAACTCCCCTTCTAATTGAGGTAGAATGTTCAAACTTGGTGTAGGTGTTAATTAGGTCAATGTCTTGATGGAGTTCGAACATGAGCATTTTGTGCTTAGGTTAAGCAGAGATAAGCAATTTGATTGGTCAAGATTTTGGAACACAATAACTCTCATTCTAGTTGAGTTAGAATGTTCACACTTGGCGTAGGTGTCTGATAGGTGAATGCCTTGATGGAGATTGAAGATGAGAATTTTCTGCTTAGGGTAAGCAGGGATAAGCAATTTGATTGGTTGATGCTTTGGGACACGATAACTTTAGTTCGAATTAAGTGAGAGTGAGGACACTTGGTGTATAGCTTTATTACATCAATACCTTGACTTAGTTCGATAATGAATATTCTCTGCTGTCATGTCATGGCTGAGTTCAATGATTTACATTAGTCGATGCTTTGGGACAAGATAACTTTGATTCTATCTGATGGAGAGTGCTGAAACTTAGTGTATAGTTTGATTGCTCGATACTTTTGAAAAAAATAAATGTGCGATTAATAAATATGTGTCATCTATTTATTTTTGGATTTCGGCGGGGGACATCAGCCTCACTGTTGGCTTGTTTAACCCATGATGATCACTCCGATATAGACGCGCTTATGCTACATTTTATGCCTTTACTTCTATTCTTTTTGAAAAACAACCATGGTTGGTAGATTAGCCTGGTCCATGGTTGGTAGATTAGCCTGGTCCATGGTTGGTAGATTAGCCTGGTCCATGGTTGGTAGATCAGTCTGGTCCAAGGTTGATAAATTAGCCTGGTCTATGGTTGGTAGATTAGCCTCGTCTATGGTTGATAGATTAGCCTGGTCCATGGTTGGTAGATTAGCCTGGTCTATGGTTGATAGATTAGCCTGGTCTATGGTTGATAAATTAGCCTGGTCTATGGTTGATAAATTAGCCTGGTCTATGGTTGATAGATTAGCCTGGTCTATGGTTGGTATATTAGCCTGGTGTATGGTTGGTAGATTAGCCTGGTCCATGGTTGGTACATTAGCCTGGTCCATGGTTGGTAGATTAGCCTGGTCTATGGTTGATAAATTAGCCTGGTCTATGGTTGATAAATTAGCCTGGTCTATGGTTGGTTGATTAGCCTGGTCTATGGTTGGTTGATTAGCCTGGTGTATGGTTGGTAGATTAGCCTGGTCCATGGTTGGTAGATTAGCCTGGTCCATGGTTGGTAGATTAGCCTGGTCCATGGTTGGTAGATTAGCCTGGTCTATGGTTGATAAATTAGCCTGGTCTATGGTTGGTAGATTAGCCTGGTGTATGGTTGGTAGATTAGCCTTTTCCATGGTTGGTAGATTAGCCTCGTCTATGGTTGATAGATTAGCCTGGTCCATGGTTGGTAGATTAGCCTGGTCCATGGTTGGTAGATCAATTTGGTCCAAGGTTGATAAATTAGCCTGGTCCATGGTTGGTAGATTAGCCTCGTCTATGGTTGGTTGATTAGCCTGGTGTATGGTTGGTAGATTAGCCTGGTCTATGGTTGGTAGATTAGCCTGGTCTATGGTTGGTAGATTAGCCTGGTCTATGGTTGGTAGATCAGTCTGGTCCATGGTTGATAAATTAGCCTGGTCCATGGTTGATAAATTAGCCTGGTCAGTAAAATCGAAATCCAAAATCATAGAGAGGCCCGATAATTCCATAATGTTTCCATCACTGTAATCTATAATGGGGTCGCTCCACTCATCCATCACCTCTACCCCTTCACCAAAGTCCTCCAGCACAGCATCTAGGTCCCTTGGCACTTCCGTATTTGAATCCACAGGAATTTCTGGGACAAAGTGGTTTGGTACCCAGTTTGTCTGATTCATGTCATTTCTTGTTAACTCCACATGATTGTAATGGTAGCTTCTCTTAACTTGTCCCTTGGTAGGATATCTCTGTGTAAACCCAATGTTAGTATCTGAGCTCCTTGTGATGGATATTTGGATACCACTTTACAACCAAGAACAGAGGCAATAGCAAATAACTGCCATATTCCCATAAGTTCTTTTGGTTTTGTTGCTGCAACTGCTTCAGCTTCAAATGTTCTTTGTGATACAGCATTTGTAATTTTATCCCCAGCAATATACTGGTCGGAAAATTGAGTATACAAAGAGACTAGGTTTTCGTTGATTGGCTCAGGAATTCCTCTACACAAGTAATCATTGTTAGTGTACATTTCCACATGACAGGACATCTCTACTGCAATTCTGACCCTTGTTTCCTCATGGTATTCTTCACATCCATAACATGCAACACTCACAGATCGGGGCAAACAATTTCCATCACCAACAACGACTACTGGGTAACCAAAACTGCACTGACCAGGATGAAGAGTAAGGGCCACTTTGTCTACAGTCAGTTTATTTTTCAAAATAGATACCCCACTTTCTACTTCTACTGTATATTTTTGGTATAAATCTAGTTCTTTTAAGTAGATTGCCCTAGCTTGCAAGTTCCCAAAATTTTTGCATTTGGCAAGGTATTCAGTGCACCTTGCGAAAAAGTGTTGTCTAGTTATCTCTGGTTCTATGATGAGCACATCCGTGTTTTCATCCCTAGTCATAAGTTTGTTTTCTGCATTATCTTCCTTCGACTCCTTTTGCATCTGGGCAGTTTTGGGTGCTTTCTCTGTCTCTGCAACTTTCAGGTCTTTTCCAGACTTTTCAATAGCTGATTTTTTCTGTTGTAACAAAGGTTGCAGTGTCCAATTGTCAACATGGCCGGTTGACTCACAAAGTCCACTCTCGTAACCAATGCAGACGTCGCAGTAGCAGCATAGGTTCCTTGTCCACACTGCATCACCAGGTCCTGTCACTGATGCCACACAGTGGAGAGATCGAGTCCCAACAATGGTCATCAAATTTGAATTCTTTCTGTGCGATATGTTTTTCACTAGGAAGAAGGTTCTTTTAGAATGATTACATTGGTCATCCGTCTCATCCCTCGTCATCTTTATCCTGCAGTACCCAAAAGCATCCTCTGCTGATTGGACTATAACTTCTCTTCTCAAGACCGCATTTCGGATGCTGGATTTGACCACCCCAACACAGGCATCACATGGGCCTTTTCCGTGTCTTGAGCCGAAAAAACACCGATCGGTTGAATGGCTTGTGGAATCAGAAATGTCATGAAAGGCTTGCTTGCTCTTGTATTGTGATGCACATCCGTCAGAGAACTGTACCACATGTTCTATCTTTAGATTTCTCTTATCTGTGAGATGATCTTCAGCCTGTCTGATGAAAGCTTTGACAGCACTGGTGTCATGGTTTAGGTCGTCGGACAGCATCACTAGCTCTTCTTTCACAATTTCATGACAATGGGTGTTTTGACAGTTGTAATATGTCACAATTGGATGAACGGTGACCTGATTGTGAAACCAATGAGCGCTTTGTGCTTCGTCCTGATTGATGCATGTGTAATTCTGTCCAAAATCTAAAACCATAACCACCCAACCTTTTGGGAGGGCCTTGGAAGTGAGATTTGTAAACTGGGAGTGTTCCCACTTGGCGTTGTGCAAGTGAAGACTTAGTGCTTCTACTTCTTTCAGGAATTCTGCTGAGAACTGCTCTCCACTTCCACTTTCCGTAACAAGCTCTTTCCTAGTGCCGTTTTCGTGTTTCACAGAGTCCCATAACTGCCAAGATACTGTGTCTTTCTGTTCAACTTGATATAAAAGACTCTTTAGTTTGTGCGTGCCACATTCCTCACATTTCCTCTCCACGCAAACTCTTTTGTTGTAGTCTCCTACTTCTACTGGACACATACTGGCTCTGAGTGTGTATTTATTAGAAAGTCTTTCATCAATCTCAGTTTCTGATATTTTTTTAAGAAATTTAATTTTGAGTTCTATATTGGCACAGTATTCACACAAGCAAGATATATGTTTTGTCTTTGTTTGGGGTTTAATATGTTTAGGTCTTAAGGAATGAAAACTGCTTTGACTTAATAAAACTTCTTTGTTTTCGGATTTAAAAAAATTAAAACTTTCTTTAATTGTATTGTTCAATACACTTGTGCTCCCTTTTTTTGTTACCTTCCTCATATCAGGAAGAGGTGTCGAAATGTTTGTTTTTTTTATAAAACTCCTCAACTTTTTTTTTTGTATCTTCTGAAATTTGGTCTGATCTTTTGGCCCATACATCGTCTTCTTTAACTTTTCTGCACTTTCTTAAGTAGTCATATTTAATATTTGTAGCGCGACTCATCGCATAACAGTTTTTGTATTTCTTCATCATAGTCTTTATGAAGCATCTTCGTTTGATTATGCTCTTACGATCTTTTTGTGTTTTTAGTCTTTTGATTTCCTCAACAACTGGATCACTCGAGTCCCCTTTGGTAAGTTGTTCAAAAGCTTGTCTTTTCCTGGGGGATGCTTTATGGATAACTCTTTCTAAAACACAAGCAAACTTCTGTGGGTTTTTGGGAAGAGATTTTGTAGCCCTACTGGCTGCTTTCCTCACTGCATCAGGTGACAAAACTTTATCTTCAGTGGGTAACCAGACATCAGATACTGTAATTTCTTTGTCCATATTGTCACTATCATCAATATTTTTCCTATTTCTGTCAAACTCTTTGACACGCCGTTTTTTTTGCGAACTTTGTCTTGAACGCGATTATCTTTTTTTTTTCGCCCAATACTCTCTTTTTTTATCAATTTCTGCTCTCGTTCTAGCTTTCTTTGGCGATGAGATGCATGTTTTTCCTGTTGCATCCTTTAGTTTATCCCGATATCTTTGGGAACGGATCCTGCTTTTGGCCCTTTCTTTATCAACATCCTCCTTCGATTTTTCTCGGCCTCTCCATGCCTTTCTTCTCTGTCTATCTTTTTCAAGATGACTGAAAATAAAAAAACAAATTTATATGTTTAGTTAACATCTAAATAATATCAATACCTAATTATCTGTCTCATAAATCAAATTGACACATTTTTTAAACAATGATATGCTGATGGTCGTTTGTGTGAAGTTTCATTATAAAAGGACATCACCTTCACTAAAAACTAACTTGACCAAAAACCTTAACCTGAATGAAATGAACGAACCGACAGACGGACAGACAAACGGAGGTCGTAACCTCAAATTGACACCTATTTTAAACAATGATATGCTGAGGATTATTTGCATGAAGTTTTATCATAATGGACCGGTCATCAGCTTCACTTAAAACTAATTTGACCAAAAAGTTTAGTCCGACGTTATGGACAGACAAACAAACAGGTCTACTGAAAGCCTATATGCCTCTCATACTGCCAGGGCATAAAAATGGCCGAATGGATTTTAACAAAACTTGGTATTAATAGTCAATTAAAAATATCCACACAAAGTAAACTGTTAAAAAACAGTGAAAGACAAAGACATACATAAAATAAACAAAACTAGTTATGTGGACTTTCCATATGGCATGAAAAGTGGTATCAGGTGTTCCGGAGGGGTAAGCATACCCTGCCCTGTGCACAGTACCCGCCACAAAACAATAACTAGCAATGATACACAACCTTTATGTAATAGACAAATGAGTTTAGTAGGGGAGTTATCCCTGCTATCAGGCACATAAAGGCTATGCAAGTTAGACAGAAATAAAACGTACACAAACAAAAAGGGACTTGGATCAATCATTAGCTAAAAGCTATAAAAAATTATCATCACTACCGCAGACAGACATGACATCCCGTTTCAGCTACATGTTACTGATACTAAGCCTTCTTTTCATAACCATTTAATGCCTGGAGCACTAGCAAAGGAGGCAATAATTTGTCAATTTTAAGTCTCATATTGGGCATGACACAGCAGGGAATAGAACGTACAACTTGCGGATCAAAATAGTATTATTAATTCCACTAGGCCATCGCTGCAGCAATGAGGAGATACAGTTGCAATGAATAAACATGATTAATACCTTTGATTAATTATTAAGTTAGTACTTACGCTGCATATTTTGATGGATTTGCCTTAAGTCTTTCCAAGTAGGTTCTATTATAATCTGCCTTGGTTTTTATTGGTTTCTTCTCCTTGACAGGCCTAACACGAAGGGACCACCTGTCAGTAAAAATAGTATACATTTGTGACATTGGTTTTGAAATGTTTATTAGCTCAAATTGTCAAATATTAAGTTTTTTTTATTAAGTTTAGGTATTTGTTTACTTTACGTCTCTAAATTCAAATTCAAAGATATATGCATTTGTCAAAAATCACATCCGTGCAGTTCATATAGCTTTATTTGAATTTGAATACATTTATTTACACTAATTGTTTGTGAAATTCATAAGTCAGAATATGGTGTCAAGACACACTTTGTTTCAACTATGGTAAACCACATAACACTACAAAATATTTAGTTTTTATATCCATTCCTAGGCTGTGACCATTGACCAAGAAATAATATACTGTTTGTCAATAATCACATCCAGATTTTATAATAAAAAATAATTTTGTAGATTTGTTTACGGCAACAAACTTATCATTTGTTAGCATTCTATCACTTCATAATAATTTATTGTGCTGGTAATAATATCTACAAAAACAATAATTTACTGCAAACGGTACATTCTTACATAGGTTCGTGATTTTTGACTCGCAAAACATAATGTGTTTTAAATTGGATGTGATGATGGACAGTTAAGCCACTTCCAAAATGTCAATAATCACAACCAGGTCTCAAACCCAAACTATAGAATTGTATGCGATTTATTTATAAATAAATCAAAATAATAGTTAGTTTATGCTACAAATAACCATCTAAATAAGTGATGCCTGAATCATAAATCAAATTAAAATAAATCCTAATATGGATGTGATTGTTGACCTCAATACAAAACCATACACATGTCCTTGGATGTGATGGAGGACTACACCCTTGATGTCTAAAATCATGTTTCAAACAATTTTTGTAATAAACGATGGAAGTTCTCATTTCAATGTGAAATAATTCATTTCATACATGACTTTCATTAGCTTTCCTTTCAATATTAACACTGGAGTTATGTGGTAATTAATGATAAAAAGCAGGACGTGATTCCTGACAATCAAACTGACAAGTAGGATAGTGGATAGTTGTCTCATAGGTCGGCTAACAACTGAATTTATTTTTTCCTTCAGTAAGCAGCTTCTGAGAGAAACATTCATAATAATTCTTCGTGGTCTGAATTTTTATTACTAATATAATTAATGATGATAATGTATACAGAATATCAAATGATAGTAAAATGCAATAGAGACGTGATTATTGACTTATTTAAACGCGTCCAAAGTGACGTCCGGGAGAAAACTCGAAGTCCAAAATCACGACCACAGAATAAAAATGATTACTTTAATTTTAGTTTCGATGAAAACAAGCAAAACATTGCAGATATGGGGGGATTGTTATAACGAAAACACGTTAAAACGGTTCTTTTTCGTTTGCGTTATACTATTGTTGTGTTTTCACATTATTGTTCTCAATCGTGACGTTTCTCCCGGACGTGATTAGCTATCTTGTTCATTGACGGAAAACACTTACCGTTCATTATCCGCCATGATGGGTTGTCTGCACAGAGCATGCGCAGTAAATCGGATAAGTTGACGATTACTGATTTCAAATACAGAAGAGCGGACCGGAAACTACGGGTTCAATGCATTTTACATCGGTCAGAAAGTTTACTTTTTTCTCGGACGTGACGAAGATTTTTTGACGGAATCCACTACATATTTAATTGACAACATATAATTTCACATACAATATATTTCCTATTGGTTAAGTGGTATTTAAAACACAAACAAATGTATAAAATAAAGAAGGAAACTGCGGAGATTGCTTTTAACAAAATAAAATGAGTTTTTATAATCGACGAGAAATTCACTATAAATTGACGGAATTTCATCACGTACGTGAAACAATTTTTAAAACAGTATTTATTCACCAATTCGAAGATAAAATAGGATAAAACAACCTAAACCTGATAATAATGCAATATAGACACCATTAAAACTTACCTGTATGTTTTTTAGAGCTAAAGTGTCAAATATATACAACAGTCAAGTTGGGTTATAAGGCCATGTCACAAATGGCCGTCATTAAATTGCTTCGTTTTTGTAGGGAATAATTAAAAAATAAACAAAAGAATACATTAAACACGCTGAAATTGTTTTTTATATCTCTTTTATTACTTTTCTTTAGACTAAACTCAGAAGTATAACAAACAAATAATATATGCAATCTTTTTTGGCCATTTAGTTGAGATACACCTTACTACACTCATTAGTGTGGATATGCTCAATTTGATATGGAATGAAATATGGCATCACAAAACACCCCAAAAATGACTTTTTCAAAGTGTTGAAAAACCTTTCTTCCGTCAAAAGTCAAAAATCGCAACTTTGAGCCTCCATAAAAGAAAAAAATTTCATCCGATTTTGAATCGGTAAAAAGTTTTGTGAGAAGAATGATGAGATCTACCCGAAAAGCTAATAAAATCAAATGTATAATCATAATCTCAAAATCACCTTTTCCACCTATGAATAGACCTAAATGTAAAGCGTGTGTTACTGTTGAAACCACCAATCACATTACCAGTATAGACATTAAATATTTTTATATATTAAGGCTAATTGTTTAAATTGCCATAGTTCTAATGTTATATATTGTATACCGTAACTTGTGAGGTTTTTTTATAAGAAACAGAGTTTCCAATAACCGTTATTTTCCGGTTTTATACCGGTAAATTTTAACTGCAACTTTATCTTTCCATTCATAACACATGTCAAAAATCTCGTGCTGACCATGGGTGTCGAAAAGTGGTACTATTTATAGTAACTTGGGTATGATGGTTTCTTCCTGTTTGAAGATCGCTGCTCAATGTCTGCATGATCTTCACAAAATGGTGCCAAAGCAGACAAATCTTTCATCCTTTAACGGAGGGGGTGATACATGTATCAAACGCAAAAGAAATATCGTTATATCTTTGGTAGTTCCCGTGAGGAGTGTACCAGCAGAGGAAAGAAGGGTTTATGTCGGCAAAATTTAATATACGTCTCTGCGTAATCGTTTATCATAGCACCTTAGTTTTTGTCTGTCACCTTTTAGTTTTTATTCATTCGACGATGATAGACAAACGACACAATGATCTCGTGACAACCACAATTGAAATTGCTTTAAAATATTTTTTTGGGTTGACTATGTCATAGTGTTTAATAATATCGACAACATTTATAAAACAAAGCTTCTGTCAGCATGTGTATAAAGTAAAACATCATAACGTTAAACAGTATTTAAAACTAAAGCTAACTTCGCTGATTCATTGACCTAATTCCAGCGATATCACGTGTCATTAGTATTTGGAGATTTTATCGGAAAAATATATTATTAATGACTGTTTCTCGGAATATTCGGTGTTCTATCAGTGGATTATATTCAATGAAGATTTAAATTGAACTAACAACTGGTCTGTGAAACCATCAAATGTATGATCCAATTATTATTTTAATATCTCCCTGGAATTCATATGGAGTGTCAATCAAAGACGCGTGATTCTCGAGATTCACAATACAATCCATGACGAGATCCGCCTGGCTTATTTTCACAATGTGTTCAAATTCTCACATGTTTCAATGAAGTTTATTTATTTGAATACATTTACAAGATTTATTAGCGGTAAAATTTTGTTTTCATCAGACTGGTAAAATTACGAGTGGACCGGTATTTTTGACCCCTACCGGTACGAAGGTAAAATTTTTAAGCTAGCAGAAACACTGACCGTATGTTGGCCAAACTATCACCCCCTTTAGTACCAGACTTATAATAGTCATAGAAGTCATATTAAATTGAAAAAGATTGGAAAATCACCTCACATAGCTTCACACTTTGATACACCTGGTCATGAATCTTACATCTGCACTGTGCTGGATAAAATCCCTCAGAACGATAGAGCCAAACTCAATATTGCTGAATCACTTTGGATCCACAGATTAAACACAGTATGGCCTAGTGGTTTAAATTAAATGCCTGTAAATTAATTCTACAACCCCCTTTTTTTTTAACCATACATCATTTATCTATATATTTAGCCTATATTTTGTCATCAAAGTTATGACGTCATATTAACATTATGACATCACTAGTTTAGACTGGACAACCTGCTCTAAATAGCGTAAAAATATGGTATATCAAGGTTGTGGACCCTATACAGGTCACAATTTTTATCCGATTTTGTTGAAACTTGAAATGTAAGTTTATAACCCAAAGATCTCGGTTCCTTTCGATATTTGCGCATATTGGACCGTAACTTCCTGAATTATGGCCCCTGATTGTACGAAAAAACACGTTTTTAGCTTGTGGACCCTATAGAGGTCATAATTTTTATCCGATTTTAAGGACGGCTGAGTTCGAATTTCGTGAAAATCGGCCCAAAATTGACAGACAAAATGGCCGCCGTTCGTTCTCAAATAGCTTAAAAATATGGTATATCGAGGTTGTGGACCCTATAGAGGTCACAATTTTGTTGAAACTTGAAATGTAAGTTTATAACCCAAAGATCTCGGTTCCTTTCGATATTCGCGCATATCAGACCGTAACCTCCTGAATTATGGCTCCTGATTGTACGAAAAAATCTCGTTTTTAGCTTGTGCACCCTATATAGGGCATAATTTTTATCCGAAATAAAAAACGTATTATTATTATATCACCGTTACACCCTAAGGACGAATGAGTTCGAATTTCATGAAAATCGACCCAAAACTGACAGACAAAATGGCCATCGTTCGTTCTCAAAAAGTGTATAATATGGTATATCAAGGTTGTGGACCCTATAGAGGTCACAATTTTAATCCGATTTTGTTGAAACTTGAAATGTAAGTTTATAACCCAAAGATCTCGGATCCATTTGATATTCGCACATATCGGACCGTAACTTCCTGAATTATGGCCCGATTGTATGAAAAATCGCGTTTTTAGCTTGTGGACCCATTAGAGGTCATAATTTTTATCTGATTTATAAAAGTTCGAATTTCGCGAAAATGTGCTCAAAATTGACAGATAAAATGGCCGCCGTCTGTTCACAATTAGCGTAAAAATATGGTATATCAAGGTTGTGGACCCTATAGAGGTCACAATTTTTATCCGATTTTGTTGAAACTTGAAATGTAAGTTTATAATCCAAAGATCTTGGTTCCTTTCGATATTCGTGCATATCGGACCGTAACTTCCTGAATTATAGCCCCTGATTGTACGAAAAATCGCTTTCTTTTTAGCTTGTTCTCTATCCATCTCTCGAAAATGTGGGCGTATCCCACATTCATCATCTATTTTTGAACTGTTATAGCAAGAATGGCTAACTCCTTATAAAAATCTCCCTTAATGTATCTTTAACAGATTTTGTTAAAATTTAGCATGATCCATCATTTCAATAAAAGGGTTGTAGGAATGTGGACGTTATCATGCAGCTTTAGCGTTGCTCTTGTTTAGGCATTTCAGACGGACGTTCATTTTTAAAGTTAATAATAATAAATACATTTCAAATTTTTCATTTCAGATTACGAATACCCCTAACAAGCCCAATGATTTACACTACAACTGGAACTACAACAACCAATTTTAATACCAATAATTATACTAATGGTTTTACCCATCCTGTCCCACCCCCCCAACCATTTACATCACTTTCTTCTGGTAAATTTCCTGTTAAACCTTACTCTCCCAAACTTCTCTCGCAATCATTTAATGGAAATTTGACATCTACTTTCCCAAATGATATATCTTATCCATATCAGTCATCCTATGAACCTGTGGCCAATGATACCACTCCCTTATTTGATGGGGACTTCGGATCTCCAGAAGTCCTACCCACAGATCAGTATTACTATGAGACCACACCCAGCATGAGTCGCATGCAATGTGGTCAAAACTCTGCCTGTGATGTTAGACCCATTGGACTAGTTCGTGCCAAGTCAGCCCCAGGTAAGACTTTCCTTCGATTATTTTTGATCATGAAAATGTTTGCGTATATAATCATTGCCCCTGTCCATTCCTCCACAATTTGTTTGTGGATACTCTACAAGTCACAATTTTTAACCGATTTTGACGAAATATAGATTTATCTCCAAAAGATTTTAGTTCCTTTCGATATTGGCATTTATCGGACCGTAACTTCATGGATTATAGCCCCTGATTGTTAGAAAAATCACATTTTTAGCTTGTGGGCTCTCAAGAAGTCACAATTTTTGCCCAATTTTGATGAAATATAGGTTTATCTCTAAAAGCTCTTGATTCCTTTCGATATTGGCATGTATCGGACCGTAACTTCATGGATTATGGCCCCAGATTGTACGAAATATCACGTTTTTAGCTTGTAGTCACTGTAGAGTCAAAATTTTGATCTGATTTTGATGAAACTTAACATATATGTTTATATCCCAAAGATCTTGGTTCCTTTCGATATTCGCGCATATCGGACTGTAACATCCTCAATTATCGCCCCTGATTGTACGTCCGGGCAGTCAACAATAGTTGTCGCATATTCTTACTTTTGTCGGTAATGAAACATTTATAATACACTAAAATCTGATTAAGAGAAACAACTCGTTAAGTGATTATCAGAAAATCATTAGAATTTGTTTGGCCCATGCTAACATTTAGTATACAACACATTTAAAGGACAATATTGGTGTCAGTCATTATTACATATGTGATAGAACTGGTTAAATACATTCCAAATATAATTTTAACACAGAGATCATTGCTACAGGAGAGGTGTAACAAGCACGTGAAGAAACGGGAAGTGACGTCAAACATGACAAACACGAGTTGTCCTTCTATATAACTGGCTGAAGTAACGAGCGATAACAGACAAACGATCAAATTTCATTTCACTGATAATTCAGTTGAAGATGAAAAGTTGTTATATGAGACGATGAGAGGATATCTGACAATTAAAAAAAAGAATTGGCTGTCAGTAGATAAAAGATAACGTACAAATTAGAAAAAGTCCGTGCATTACCATGTTTTTATTAAGAACCAGTGTTTCCGCTAAGGGCATGGGCGTTGTCATGTTGGAAAACATTTCCATGACGTGCAAAATGTGGTATGATGTGGGGTCTGAGAGCACTGCTGTGGTGCCGCCTCCTCCCCCTGGACCAAGATTTTGGAACACCACAGGACCCACTCTCTGGTTCAGGCAGATTCAACCCCAAACCATTATGCTTGGACCTCCCCATGAGTCTTGTTCCATGACACATTGGTCAGAATAATGCTGGCCACGTCGACGCCATATTCTGGTCCTGCCATCTGCAGTTGATACGCAATACCGACTCTCATAGAGGTGAACAGAACAGTTCTCCATTGCCTATGTTGCCAGTTCTGGTGTTGTTGAGCAAACTGTAGGCGTTCACATCAATAGCACGTGGTGAGAATTGGTCCACGGTAAGGTCTATGGCAATGGATGTTCTCTCTGGTGAGATGTCGGCGCACTGTATCGGTACTTATGGGTCTTCCGTGTGTTCCCACTGTCTGACGTGCTGTCTCAGATGCCTGTGTGAAGGGATTCTGCACATGCTGTCGCACAACATGGCGGTCTTGTCGCCTTGTGGTAACCCCTGGTCTACCAGTTCGGGGCCGGTCATCTGTGGTGTTGGTGGCCCGAAAGCGTTGCTGAAGCTCGTAGATGGTCCAAACATTGACCTGGAAGTGATTGGCAACGGCTTGGGCAGTATGGCGAGCGTCGAGTCTTCCAAGCGCCTGGTTCCTCTAAGATGCTGCTGCTGACGTTGTAGTGTGAATGATTCAACTAGGTATGCAGGGTGCATTTTATAGGGCTGGTCTCGGTGAACAGCACGTGCAGTATGAGTTACATGAAAATTATGGAGAACACATTACCATCTCAGAAGTCAGTTTGCGTTTTTGAGAACATTTCCTGGGTTGAGTTCTGTGTTTGGGAAGGAGCCTTATTGCTCAGGTAAAGTTGGAGATGTGGTCACACATATATACAATAAAAACATTTGGCAAGTTTTATGCAATGTGTCTATTCAGACTAACATACCAACCTGACGTTTCTTTTGCTGCTTAGTATATGCCACAATAACTTTTTGTCCATCAAAAGTTTGACTGAAATATACATTATATAGCACATAAGAAAACAATTAACTATTTGGTATATCGTTGTCGCCTCCGTCTAGAGACTTAACTCTTAACTGACCCAAGGCGACTTTTGTCGACACCTATAACGTTACCGTTGAGTACCCACCACGACTTTTGTCGACAAAACCGGTTAGACGAATGCAACGTTCCTAGCGTAATGAGAGTTATTTCCCCTATGAACAGACGACTTTATCTCATTTGTTTACTTCCTGTTTGACATTCTGACAGTTAAAAATCTTACAGTTTATAATAAAACGGTGATATGTCTAGACTAGTGTTGAAACTACTATTCGGATATTCGTTAACAGATACAAAATAAGGATTATCTGAATCATTTTACTATCCGTTTACTATTCGTTACAATATATTCTGACATTCCCTATGCTCTCTCTTTAGCCATTTTTACATCTGATTACTTTGAAATTTTCCCGAATGCAATTGATCACGTACCGTACGCAGCTCTGAGCATAAATGTCAACATTATGCGTATTATTTAGTGATAGTAACTAATAAAATTATTAATGCATTAGTCTAAATAAAAGAAATATTCATTCATTCCCTGCGCTTATTTACAGCATACGAGTTTAGAACGTGTTTTGACTACCCGCAATGAAATTTATTCATAACAACCTAGGTCACGTATATTCCCACTCACTGATTGGTTCAATAGTTGTAGATTTTCAGAATGAGGCAAACGACCTTGGCGGAATAAATGGCACATGTTTATATTTTTCTTTTTTCCATTCGTGTTGATTGACCAAAATGATAAGTGGGAGGGCTGCGGATTACAGGAGTAGTTATACTATATACAAATTTCTTCACCTCATTGATTTTTTGGGATATCATAGTCTTAATAATTACGGCTAAAGGTAGGCACGTTTTTTTCTTCGCAGCTCAAACAATTTGCAAATCGAAAGTACGATTTCATACTCGGCATACACAGACACTCATAAACATTGAAACAAGTAAGAAATTATGAGTATATGAACTTTTGATGTAATTTTGTTCAAGAATTTCACGTCTCCAAATTATTGGAATAGTATTCGGATAGCCAACAAAAGTATTCGGATCACAAATCTCGATCCGATTTTCAACACTAGTCTAGACCTATTCACCAACGTTCTCCTAATGACGGATTACCATTCTTATTGAATGGCAGTGATTCAGATTTTATCTGTAGTGTAGATTTTTACAGTTCTGCGTTAGGCCTAGAACGTGATAGAAGTAGGCTTAGTTTATCAACAAATTTCTAGTAAGGAATTACAGTACTTAAATAATCTTAAATTAAGAGATTCACAATGAATAATTTTTAGTTCACAACAGCCGAACAATAAAAATAGAAATAACCATTATATACATGAATTTTGCATGAAATGTCGAAATTAATTTTTTGTATAAATTTATATGAAAATGGCATTAATTATGGGTTCCCAGAAAAGTATTTATCGGGTGGTTATTTCCAATAAGAGTATGGTAATTTTGGTATATATGGAAAGTAGAGATATCCAATCTTACCAGAAAAAATACTGGTTTACCAGAAAAACACTCATGGAGCGTACACAGGACAAAAATGTAAGGGTTTCCCTAATCAACAGCCCGACGATTAGGAATTTCTGCACGCATGATGTCAAAGGTCACACGCAAACATTGAGCGCTTGATGTACAAGTTGATAAAATTTATGAAGAGTTAGACGTACAACACTTTCTGAGATAAAAATGACGGAAAAAGACGCGGGTAGTGGATAATCCAAGAATTTAAGGATTCGATATTTGTAATAAATAGTAAGCAATTAAAGACAACATCGTCTTATGTATGCAATGAATTCTCCTCTGACTTCCAAGACCTGACGTAAACATGACCTGGTTTGATTGAATTTTTATAGCAGGACATTCCTTCGCAATTACAATGTTTGAGACGGATTTGAAGCAAAGTTATGACAAATTAATTAGTTTGAATATGTTTTTAGTCCATATATACCATTAAATCACCCAGTTTGTACGCTGGAACCCATCTTTAAATTTAGATTAATTCATCCATTTACATTAAAGTGCACATAAGATGGGTCTGGAAACTTTGAGATACGTGTGGCCGATGGTTACTATATCCACTTTACGGCAAGTTCACACCAATCTGATTGAAATTAATTCAGCTATCTTCACTCAAAGTCGCAAAAATAGACCTCCCGTAAAAACGACTTTGCCAATTATTGAAAACACTCTTAATCCCCTCAGACGCCAGTGACGTCACAGTGACCGAATGCATATTCGGAATGTTTATTCCTTAATTACCTATATGCAGCTGGCGTGTGTATTCATTAACGCTTGACTGACTCCTTAATTCCCTAATTAAATAAAACAATTGACTGCGGAATAATTTGTTTTGTAATTTATTTTAATTTAAGATCCTATTTAGAATTTGTTTTATAATGTCCCGCCCTCTCTTCTCACGACAGCGATTTTAAAGTGACTTTTTGATAAGAGCCACTCTACCATCGTGTGCAGTCCAAACGATTCGAAATATATTTCCGTCAGAAGAGTATTGTGGTTCTAATTTTCCCGAGTAAAAGAGTACAGAAGTAAAAGATGTGGCCATGCAAAATGAATCATTAAAGTCAAACATGACTGAAACGTGATTTTTAAATGACAATCCGTAGCTCGATTTCCTGTAGTCATCGTACAGCGTCTTTCTTTCTGCATGTGGATTTGACTTCATTACTCTGAAATCGACCGTTAAAATGAAATACGAAAAAATATCTCAATATTATACGTTAGAATTAAGAGATTGAGAACAGTCATCATCTAACTATCTTTGTGTATTGATAAAG